TCAGAATACATCAATGCAATCTCTCAAAAAAACTTAATTATGCACTGTAAGATGATAAAACTACAATGAATATTTCTAAATGTTTTTGATAAGAGATTGGACTACAGTGAGTTTTAAACATATTTATTTTCTTCCAATACAAACACTGTAAAAGATTGAAGATTATCTGTATATCTTTGTTTTCTTTCATTTTTACACTTTTACATTTTTACATACCTGTTTTCAATTATGACTTTAATTTTGAATTCTCTCTTTTTTTTTTTAAGTGATTATTTTGAGGTAATTATAAATTGTGTGCTGTATTTAAAATTAAATAATAGATGTAGAAGTTCATCCCTAACTCTGCCTTAATGTCACCCATGTCTTTTGAATTTGCTCACCTTATTAAATTAAAATCATACACATGGCTGCTAAAAATCAAACTCAAAGATAATATTATCATGAGCTATTTCTAATGATTCCAAGAAACACACATACACACATTTCATTTTATGTATGCTTTTATGGCCAGGTTCACTGACATGCTGTGGGTGTTTTATGCTACTCTGGAGTAGAGAGCAATGCAGCCAGAGCATACTGGCTGGTTAAGCTAAATTTACAGCTCCTTTGTTGAATAAAAGCAGTGCAAAGCAGTTGGAAGGCACACCCCAGTTTCCTTCTGTCTCTTGCTTCTCCCTCACTCTTCTTAACCCTCACATTTGCTTCCATTTCCTCCTGCATCTGCTATATTTTGCTCTACAAAAACACATTTCTCCTGTCCTCTGTAAACTAAGTACATATATGTACATGTGCACATGTACAACACAGACCTGATGCCTCTTTTACTGAGCACATCTGGTATAATGCGTAGCTTATGAAAGTAATTATTTGAACATTAGTAGTTGACCATCACTCTTGTTTTTTCTATAGCTGTTGGCAGAAGAGAGTGGATTACATTCTCATAAACTTGAGTGTAGAATCATCTTCTTAGAAAATAGCCACCATCTTCTATTGTTTTCAAAGAGATTAAAGCAAATTTTAAATCGGTGGAAGTAAATGATGAAATATAGCTCTCTAGAGACGAAGACCTTAAGAATAATAGAAAAGAGCTGTGTTGTTTCTTTTTTTTGATATCATAGGGGAAAAGAAGTTGTGGCTGCCCTTCAGGAAAAGGGCATTCTTTCAAGGAATTTTGTAGATAAAACAGTTTCTTGACTATGACAAAAAAAACAAGCAAAGTTTTTCTGGCAAAATTAAGCGGTATCTTGATTTGGTTTTTGCACCTCTTTTTCATTCTGCAGAAACTTCTAACTCCTACATTTTCTACTACCTCCTTGTAGTTAACATGATCAAACATATTTTCCTACTAGAAATAGAAAATAAATGGCAGGAAAAAGATTTTTTTTTATACACAAGAGCAGTCTTCATCTTCAAACTGGTTCCAGCCATTTAAATTTGATTTGGCACTACAAAGTGTTAGTTTAAAAAATACAGTAAAGACTCTTCATGTAACAGAAAGCAAAATGGCAGACACAAACAAGCACCATAATTTCTTTAGCTTCCCACTAGCATCCCACTGGAGCAAATCACTCAGCATGATGTTGAAGTGATTACTCTGTGTTATGCATCTGACTCATCTTCAACTGTTCTGCATTTTTACATGGGAAAGTTGCTTTTTCCAGAAAAGATAGAAGTATTTTCCAGGACAATTTGGAGGAAGAGAGTGAGGTGAAATCCTATTCAGTCACAATTGGATTTGCTTAAAATAGATCTATGCAGCTGAAAATCACAAATATTTGGTTAGCTGCATCTATATATAGATGTGTGTGTATGTGTATGTAAATGCTTGTATATTCTGCCCTTGGAACTGTATAAATGATATCAACTACATCATCATATATAATACCTGATTATATGCAAAACTTTAGGAGCAAACAAAAGGACTCTATTTCTGTGGACGTTATCATTCAGAAGGATCTCTGCTGTGAAATTGGACAGTCAATCAAGCAGTAATGAGTTACCTAGTGTCAGGGTTGCTGACACTTCAAATATGTGCTTAGTGCAATTCTAGGAAGAAACTAGGGCTCTGCCAGTGAGAAAATAAAGGTTATGCGTACCCCCTTGGAGACTGTTAGATGATTTTAATGCAAATTTTTTAGCTCCTAAGGACTCAAAGAATGAGGCTGTCGAAGCTGCCAAAAGCGGGAAGCCTCAGCTGTTCTCCAACTCAGTTCCATCTGTCTGCAAACTTACTGACACCTTGGTTATGTTGGAGAGGAATTTCACCAACACGCTCTCTTGCTAGGGACTGAATCCAACATGTCCTTTCTCTCTGCTTGGGAGTAGATATGGAGTAAATCTCACCATTTTGTCCCTTCATTTTTCTCTTCTCAAAACCAAGGATATCCAACATTTTCCCTGTCACTTGTTTAGGAACACTTTCATAAATCTGTCTCTAAAATCAGTTTATTTGAGAAAATATCAAGCTCATTTTCCTATCTTCAAATCTCACTGTATATTTTCATAGAAACTGACCTGTTGCAGGGCACAGCTCCTAAGCAACAGCCGACTTGATGACTTTTTTACCAAGTTTTCTATTAATTTTCTCCAAGTTTCTACCTTCCTTTCTACCTATGGCAAAAAGACTGAACTGTGGATCTCTCAATCCTGGCCACTGTCTCACAATTCTGTCCTGGCCAAACTGAGAACGCAGGTTACATCATCTATGACATTTTGGATCACAGCAGGGATAAATTCTGGTTTGAAGATTAAGCGCTTCATCATTAGGAGTGGTAAACATATCTACCATTCAGACCACATCCACAAAAAATGGTTTATCCTACACAATTTATAGGTGTTTGTGTCCACCCTTCAGAGTTCCATGCACTTTGCTTCACTGAGGCCCACTCAAAACTTCCCTAACAGGCATACTAAATGCACAACAGTAAGCATTACATTTGGCACAAAGACTGTGCCTGGGCAAAAATGAACTTAGGATGCAGGGAAATATTTTCTGGTCTTCCAGCTCTTTTGGAGAAAAGGAAAACAACAGTATATATTGTAATGAGTCAGCAGCATTCTATTTCTAAAAACCAACCAAACAAACAAACAAAAAATAGCAGTTGACTATTTAAGATAATGATCCTTGCCCACATTAATTGCTACATGAACTGGATGCATTTAAAATTATTTAAATTTAAAATTATTTAAAATTATTAACATTAACATTACTAAAATGCATTAAGTTTTGAACTATCAGCAATTCTTTTAAGAGAGAGCCTAATCATTACCTTGAATTTATCTGCTTTAAAGAAAAAGCATAATTAAACACTTATTTTAGTGGTATGTGTGCAAATGATTAGTCATTGTGTAGTAGCTTACATGAACTTTATTTTCCTGAATAATGCACATGCAAAACAGTAGACTGAAATTCCCTTTAACTCTGAGGCAAAGTAACATGTACAACATTGGTATTAGTTGCTCCAAAATGTTTATGAATGTGCTTAAACTGTAATGGCAAAGAACATATTTGAAAAGGTATTCTTAAGCCCAGGTACTTGCTGTCAGGATAGAAGGGGTGCCAATTATGGTTGTAGGTAGTATAAGTAGACTTATATGAGTCTTCAGCTCAATGAGTTGAGAGTACCATTCTCCACAGTACTAAGATGGACACATTACCTATCTCATTATTGGGATAGGTCAGATACAAACCAGCAATTTTGGAGTGATCATACCAAACATTAATATCAGATACCAATACCAGTGATTTGAACCATCCAGTCCATAAAATCTCAAGAAAGAATACAACAGATCTTGGAAAGAGCCTGAGGGAATACTGAAATATAGAAAATTTAAAGCATGCCACTGACTATTTGTTTAGACTCTTTTTACTTACAGACAAACGTTGTAAATAAAATTCAAACCTTTTTCACAATAACAGTGTAACAGTGTGAATGTGTTGGGCCACTCTGTGTGCAGGTCCAGGGTTTGGACTTTAAATTCAGGTGTGTTATTTATCAGATCCTTGGCATGTTGTTTAATTGCCTAAACAGGAGTGCTTGAGAAAAAAAGGCAAAAGTGAGTTTATACTTTTTGTGATGTATTTTGAATAGAATATGGGTCAAAAGCTATATAAGGTAAATGCATTACTTCTTGGAGGTGATCAAATAGATGTGTTGTCTCATTGCCTTTTCTTCATACCAGCTTTCACTAAATGAAAGTTTACTTTTCAGACGTAATATTTGCCCATTCTTGAGAGGCCAGTGTTCACTAAATCCTTCCACTGGACTGCTCAACAATGAGGTGAAGCAATGCATGCAAGATGGGACTACTGGAAGACTAAAAGTATGTTTCAAACTGGCTCTATCTCCTCTGGTTCCATGACAATAAGACTAAAGATTATGATGCATCACCTATGAAAGAATAAAACTTAATTAAAATGAGCTATTGAAAATGAAGAGAAATACAGCATGCAGCATTTCCAGTCATTCTTACTGAGAACTTTCAAAATTGTTTACTTTTTAGTAACTAGCATTTTACTGAAATTCACAGAAAATTACAATTGGTCAAATCTCTGGGAACCACCATGGTAAAAATTTCAAGCTAATGAGGAATGCTGAGATTAGACCATACTTAATATTACTTTGTACGTGCTATACTTACATGTAACTGCAATCCATGTGAACAGTATTTCTCTTGTGCCAGATATCAATGATTGCGTTTGAATTTTGTACGTAGAGGAGTTAGCAAGCTGAAAGTCATTTTACTGCCATGATACGATAATGATAAAATGAGCAACTGATTAAATCGTTAGATATTTTTTTTTCTATTTTGAGTGGGTGACCACAAAAATTGAATAACCCATATATTAAGCTTACTAAGCTTTCAAATACCAGGATACCAGTATTAAATTAGTTTCACCATGGGTCATTTCTCCTGTCTTTCAAAATTACATTAGTTTTTATTTATGTGTTTGTGTTCTACCACTGGTTTTCACAACTTTAAAAGAAAAAGGTACCAACCTGAATGCTGTGAGATATTCAACATCACCCATAGGAGGATCCAAGCCACCTGTCCAAGCAATATTTATATTATAACCTTCACCTGGGCCACTTCCAACCTGAAAAACAGGAAGAAAATTGAAGAAGAAATAAAAAGGAGGAAAAAAGAGAAGGAAAAGAGAGGGGGAAAGAGGGAAAACATCTGAAGTGTTCTTTAGAAACAAACATCAAACAATGTGTCAGATCAGCACAGCCTTGTTTGACAAGGACTGCTCTGGGTTATGCACTTGTTTTCCACTGGTCCCCTGCTCCCAGTGGACAATTTGGTAATCTGGTGTAATTTAAAGAACCAGAGAAGGACAAGAAAATTAGGGGTAATCATGCAACGCAATTACCTGAAAGATACAAATAAAAATGGGGCTCTAAAGAAATAAACCTAACCTCATTTGGGGCTCCACTGCCGGGGAAGAAGTTGCCTTCATCATAGCGATGGAGGGAAACATACAGGATGCTGGGGTCAGCATAAAAAGCCTGCTGTGTACCGTTGCCATGGTGAACATCCTAAAGGAGAAAGAAAACAGATGACAAATGTAATAATGTCCAACTCAGTCTAGAGAGCTCAGTTCTGCTCTCTTTTACCCCCTTTCTCTCTCTTTCTCTCCCTCTCCATTGCCCTCCTTTTGTCTTTCCCTTTCCCCCTCCCTTCACCACCCCATACTTCCTGAACTTTCAGGCAAATTACTCTTTAATGCACTCATTTTTTAAACTGGCTTCTAAAAATCAGGAAACCATAGCGAGCGTGCCCTGGAGACTCCAGATGAGCAGTCATTGAGAAATCCCAGTCCTTTTGTACAATTAGATATTTATACACCAGCTCTTTGTACTCCTTGCCTCAGTGATGGAATCTAGCATCCTGTTTTATGGAGGAATTTTATGACTTATTAACTGCCAACAGTTCATAACCCCTCAGGCTTAATTAACTAGCCTCATTGGCCTCTGAAGAAAGACTAATGTTTAAACTACAAACTAGTATTTTGCAGAAGGATCTATGGTTTACAGAGCTTTTTCACAATTCTTGACAGAACACTAAACATAAGTGTATTCATTGATTTGCCAAGTTCCACTATTGAGGTCAAAGGCTCTGCGACCAGCTGAGTAAATTGGCTTTCTTGAAACATTCAGTTCAGTTAGCAGTCCCTCAGCAGTTAGATCCACATCAAAAGAGATGCCAGATGCGGAAAGGACTTCATACTTCATTTTTGCAAAATCATGACGGCAACAGTTGAAGACAGAGGAATATGATCTCATTAGCTATTAAATCATCTGGCAGATAGGATGGTGCCTTCCACAATCAAGGAGTGACCTTGGCCAGTCTCCATATTTCAAATATTATATAACACCATTGAAAAGAAATTCTGTCATTAAATAAAATATTGGAAAAGAAATGCTGGCAGTATATCTGTATAATAAAGGCTGATAATATGGGCTTTTCATATTTTTTAATTTTGTTTTCACAGTTCTACTATTGTAATATGTAGTTAGGCACACATGAAATTTTACAAGTGAAAATGGAAAATCCACTTGCCTTTTTGTAGAGGAAAATTGAGCCTTTATTGTAAGTTTTTTCACTGGGATTTGTAAGAAGTTGAAAGTTAGAGATATCGTTGATTCTCCTCATTTAGCTGATCCCTTTAAAATTTCTGACTTAAAGACAGAATTCAAAAGGACAAAGTACACTAAATGGTGACATTATCAACTAGACTATTTATTTTACAAACACTATGAGGTTTGAACTGAATTTAGTATCAGAGATAACGATGATCACATTTTCTTCAAAATACCTATACTGCAGGAAGATTCAAGTTAGGTCTATGCTGCCAACAGCACAGCAAGCACTGACCATTTCATGCGGTCTTTGCCAGCTGATGTAGCCTGTGATTCTCTCTGACATTCTTCAGGACTCTCTACATTGACTAAGTCTCATTTGTACTGCATTGTGCTTGACTTGGACCCCTCTGGGACATATATAGGGTAATATTATAACAGTTAATTTTTTTATTTTTTTTTTCCCTCAGTTGAAAGTCCTTGAAGCAACACAAGGATTAAGTCACAGCCAAACTGCGTAATGGCAAGGTTAAATGTAACACGTTGGGGGTGCAAGGTAGCACACACTGGTGTGAGGGTGTTGGAGGTTTGAAGGCAGCCAGCATAGTATTATTAGGTTTTGACTGGCAAATGAAGTCAAAGCTGGCATGCAGCCTAATCCCAGAACAACATCCAGTTTTCTTCTGGGACAGAATTAATTGGTTTACTTCAAAACAGACTCAGATCTTGCTAGTATATTTGCAGGTATGGATAACTTTGGGACCAGGAATGCAACAAGAATCTGAGGAACAATGTTGGCCATATAGATACATCTGTAAGCACCATGCTTAAAAAATGTAAGAGTACTTCACTTTGTGATTTTAAATAGTCTATTTTCCTAGCATATTTGGGGTTACAGATATATTCTTGCTATAACAGTTTTCAAACGACAAGAAAACAAATCAGTTTAGTGGAGGACTTGTTGGTGTTAGGTCAGAGGTTGGACTAGGTGATCTTGGAGGTCTCCTCCTCTGTGATTCCATGAAATGACAAGAGAACTCTGTCTTTTTTTCTTTTTCCTCTTTTTTTTTTTTTTCATTATTTGCATCTCAAAGCTAGTTTTCTTGTCTATACTTTAATTCCACCAAAGGTTACTCTGTTTTGAAGAGCATTAACTTCTCTGTTTAGACAAAGGAATGTGCTGTTTAAGACTGTGGATGTTACCATATGGGAAATATGTTTAGATTCTGCACTTAATATATCAAATGTATTCAGGATACATAAATCCATAAAACAGAGATTTATTCAAAGGTAGAATGAGGAAAGAAAAGCTGACAGAGAGATCTTTTATTTTGGTGTATAAAAAAAAAAAAAGGAAAGATTAAAAATTTAAATGTTAAGAATTTATATGAACACATAGCAGCTACAAAGACTACACTTTATTTGTAATTAGAATACAGTTTAATGTGTGGGATTGAACATCACATTTAACATTAACATACATGTAGTAGTAACATGTACAGCTGCCAAACAGCATGGGGTCCTGCTGTGCTAGTAACTATCAAAATATGATCTCAAATATTAATTCCAAATCTAACATCTGTAATTCCATTATTTCTTTCAGATGCTCAAAAATCTATCAGCGGACATAGAGACATAAATACTAATTTATTCATTCATTTAGTCTGCCTATATATAAGAAATTTTCCATATGACTTTTTGTGCATTATTGCACTGACCATGGAGCAGGCTAGGGACTGCAATTGCTCCAGGAATGAAGTAATCTTTATCAGCCATATACTTCTGTCTTTTCACAAGTGGAGTTATTTCAACCAATGGAACAGAATCAGAAAGAGGCTGAGCTGATCTACTTTCCTGGGTAAGCATAGGCAGCCTCACAGGTTATTATTTGCACAGGTAATATACATTTAACCTTGCCTTGCAAAATCAGTGTTGAATTCCTGAGTACTTATTGGTTGTGTAAGTGAAATGGAAGTGATTTCTGTTCTTGACTAGGTGAATGTAACACTTGTAGTAAAAAAGACAGAAACATTCACCAAAAAAAAATCAAATATTTTTTTCTTATTCAAAAACAAGAATAAACATAGAGTTCACTTTTGGCTAGCATTTATAGCAGTAAAACTCAATGAAGTGCAAAATTCAAGTCAGCAAATGGCTACAAAAACAGTGGAAGTGATTTTTTTTTCACAAGTACTGGTTTGTTGCAGTTTTTAATTATGACCCTATGTGATAGTAGAACACTCTGAGAAATGTTTGTAAAAAAACAACCTAAGAATATCTGTCCTGCCCATATACTTATTCTACCACTCATTTTTCCCCTGCCATTCCTTCTCCCACACTCGCCCTTTCTCTGCTTCTCTTCAACAACCAGTACGCATGTTTAACTGAACAAAAGTGCTAGATGGTAAGGCCATGACTTCACAATGAGATTTAATTATGAGTGCAGATATGAACAAGATTTAGACTATTAAGCTCTGCACTTCAAAAACCCTTTAACATATTTTGTCTTTAAATCTTTTATCACCTGCAAAAATTAATTAAGTGCAGATGTAACAGGTTAGGTTTTGATGCCAGGGTTCATTTCCTGTCTATGCTTTGTCAGACACCCTATTACACCTCCTCATGAACTGTAAGAAAACAAAAATGGTGCTCATAAATCAGCATTCAACTTTCCTTGGGTTGTACATTGAGCTGATCCTTTAAGTGCAAAGCAGAGCTCCAATTCATTATTCATGAAAATAATACAGACAACATGCCAAATGTCATCTGCATTTAAATAATCCATTTGTTAAAACTATTAAGCATTGTGTAAGAATGCCTTCTATTGCACAAGACTAATCCAATGAAGTGTATTTTTAATCATGTAGCTTTCCTTCAGGGAACCATCAAAAGCTGGTATACATGAATTGAAAACTTCTTAGAGGGAATGACCTGTTGATTTGTTTAATAATATTGAAGGTACACAACAAGTCGAATCATTGCTAGCTGGGGGAAGTGGCCAATTTGGTTACCAAAGCAACAACATTCTTTAAAGCACATCTGACTATTTAAAGTTTGTATTCTGTAGGGAAAAGTAAACTTGGGTTCTGTAGGGTTATTTTAACGGTGGAAGTATCAATTCATTTAAGGACCATAAAAGTTGCCCTGATCTATGCCTTCTTCTCATTAAATTGCAGTTAACACCATTAAAGTGAAACATAGATGTTTATGGCTTCAGTACTGCCATCCTGGCTTTAATGAGTTCCCAAAATCAGAGGAAATGCACACCTTTATTACTTGTAGGTATTAAAAGCAGGAAGGTCTGACATATAAATACAAATTCATTATCTTTTATCTAGATGCACTAAAAGTGCGATGCTTGCCAAGAATACATACCAGATCTACAATCAATATCTTCCCTATATTCAGCTTGTCTCTCAAGTATTTGGCAGTAATTGCAATTGAATTAAAAAAGCAGAATCCCCTGTGGAATAGGGAAGAACAGAAATAAGAAAGCAAATCAGTCAGGAAAACAGCTATAAATAATGTTCAGAGCATTTAAAAAGAAAAAAAAAAAAAGCTATATGATCTCTGAGGCCATAAATCTGCTTCTGGGAGTACCTAGAAAGCCTTTTCAGTCATCTGCTAACAATTACAGTTCTTCAGAGACATGCACAACACAGGTGATTGCCAGTAACCTTAGTGCTCCAAGATGGGCAATATTCCCTGGTACTTACATGGCTGTTGATTCTTCAGCATGATGGCCTGGGGGCCTTACAACAGCAAAACCATTCTGTAAGAACAAGATAGGTTTTCAATTATCAGCTTAAAAAAATATTTGACTCAGTGCAAAACAGAGCAGCAGGCAGACTGGACTGAAATGTATTTGAGGCTCTTAAGCACTTTTTCTGTCCAATCACCCTTTCATAGTATTGTCAGAAATAATATTTTTGAGAATAGTGGCATATAATCTCATATAAATATGCACATGTGCGTACATACACACGCACACACACAACACAACCTAAACAGGAGGAAAAGAAAGCTGTTGTTGTCAATTCTGAAGTCAAGAATTCAAATTTAAACATGAGCAGAGAGGACCAACCCATTCTTGATCTAAATTCATGTAACCTTACATTGTTTGAGATTGAGAAAATTTGAACTAAAAGCAGCTTGAGGTATAAATTTTAAATGATTACTGTGTTGACCCTACTTCCTATATGGACTAAATGATAAATTCAGACACACACACACATACAAATCCTAACAGTAGAAAAAGGATGGCAATGAATATCCCATATTTCTGCAGACTATGAATTAAACTTGGGAACTTGCCAGTCTCACAAGCTTAGCACATTCCCTAAAGTCAATTTCTAATACACGTTCTGAAATTGTATAGAAATGTTTATAAAAGACAGCAGTAGGATTAGTGATGATCAATATTTTTTTTGCTACTGGAGATTAAAGAAAAATGAACTCTTCCCACTTCATGGTGCAGTAAGGTAAGGGGCAAATGTAGAAATACTGGTAAAGTAGCTCTGTTCGGAAAGTTAGATTATATATTCAGGAAGCAGTGCATCATAAGGTGTGTATTATCAAATTTCTCTTTAAAAAGCCAGATTCAGAAGTAACAACATTACTTCATCAAATTTGCTCTTTATTTCAACTAGTCAAGACTGTTAATCTCTTCTATTCAGCTAAGGTGAAATATAAATTGGTTATAAAATATAAGGTGAAATATAAATTGTTTATAGATCAAACACAGCATCAATAAAAAAAGGCATTGTGGCTTGCACTAGTCTTCAGAATCAAACCAGCTTTACACTCAGCTAAAATGCTGATCCTCCTGAGTTGCTTTTTACATAAAATATGACTTAGAGAAGAATTCTGTAAAGATGTCTCTTCTATCATTTATGAAAAATAAAGTATGTGTATGCTGAGGAATGTACAGATGAATAAGTGAAAGAACACTCAGAGAAGAGGGCATTAGTGGAAAGAGCTCTGTGCTACCCGTACTTTGTTCTCTCAATATTTGTAAGAATTTGGAAAAAAATACATGTAATGAGTACAGCTGCCCCTCAGCTCACAGATCATTATTGTCTAACTTTATCAGCAACCCCAAAAGATCTATATAATTAAGATTGTTGTATCTGGGAGAATTTTATGGGGGAAAATACAAACACAAAAAAAAAATTGACACTGCTCTTTTTGACATAACATTTATTCTTTAGACTTCTCTCTTCTATTTCCTTATTTTGACAACACTGTTTGGAAGTATTGTTTAGTTATAGCTGGCTTATTTTCTTCTACAAGAGCTTAAGTAAGCTATTCTGGTTCTCCATGGGCATCTAGAACATTTACTTTAGTGTTGTGAACATTTATTATGGTGTTTTTTTTTTGTTTGTTTGTTTTTTTAATGTTGCAGTAAGTTATTTTATAAACTCACATTTAGATACAATGCATACACTACATTGATAAGGCATATAAGGTAATCAAATTCTACCAAACACCGAAAACTAGTTACCATACAGTTTTAACAGCAACTTTCATGCAATTGATAAAACACTTTGTTTCTTCTACTTTTAAGATTTGCACAAACACACCATGTATTCACACAAGAGAACATGAATTCACTTAGTTAGGCAATATTTAAATACCAGACAGTGAGCTCAGAACAGTAGACAGAAAGGCAAAAATCTGCTTTAAAGATAGAAAGAGTAACACAGAGGAATATGTTGAAAATGAAGCCAACACACATAAATTCAAAGCATTTTTGTACAGAGCCTTATTTATACTAGGATACAGACACCTTATATGTAGACAGAACATTAAACTGACTGACAGACATGAACATTAGAAAAAGGATTCATGTCTGTGTCATTATGTGCTTACCTCTAGTAAAATTTGAGGGTAAAGAGTAAAGCCTGAATAGTCATATTCTAAAATCTGTACATATTTGAACAACGAACAAAGGGAAACCTGCTGAAACTCAGTTTATAAATTGCAATAAATAAATAAATAAATAATAAATAAAATCACAAAGATATTGCAATATATTGCAGAATTAGATCTTAAATAAAAACTAAGAAAAAATATTAGACTTTTTCCAGTCTCCTTATTCCAGAGTCTCTTGGCTTCCAAAGAAGAAAGGTGTACATCCCCATACTGTGGCCTCATTTTATTTGGTGATACAGTTGATTATTTCTGTAGCATGCTGGGTCAGAACATTGAGCCGCATCATGCTTGGGCACCTACTATACCTCTTCCTGGACCTTGACAAAACAAGCACTCAAAACAACATAATAACACGGTTGCTCCACAGTTTGGACTGACTATCTACAGCAGAGCTCCTCTGGTGTTTCTGTGACAAAAGGAGATAAAACCAAAGCTAGGAACTTTTTCCCTAGAGCAACACATGGTGACTATGGCAAGGTGTCAATCACTCTTCCCCTGTTTGGACAATGGGAGCTTACTCTGCCCAGATTCCAAGTGGACCAAAAGCCACCCAGCCAATCGGGCACTCCGGGCATGTTGAGAGACAGGCTGGAACTACTGTAGACCATACGACCTTCACAGGTCCTTTCTAACTTCAAACACTCTGTGATTCTACTTCGAAGTTCACAGCTACATACCTTTGAAAAGAAAACTGTCAGGAAAATATCTTGCACTAGCTGATTGTAGCTACACGTTATCAAGGACAGCTTTCTCAGGAACCTGTGTTTATTTCATATGGAGACCAGGTACCTAATTCAGAACCGCACTAGAAGCTCTACATTATCCAAAATCAGGTGTTAAAGTCTCTTATTTTCTACATGTCTACATGTAAATCCCTTAACAAATACAACCCATAGGTCTTAAAATTAGCAGTGCTTTTACGTGGCATTCATAGCCACTTGTTTTTCATGGAAGGGTTTATTTTTGCTTCACTGTGCACAAGCATTAGAGTCAGGAGTGAATGAAACTAATACTTCATTTCTTTGTTGAAACTGCTTTAGTTATTATACAGAAATGTATCCATTCCTTCTGTCAGAATTGATATTCCTTATGTTTATATATGTATATATATATATGTATGTATATATATACATATATATAAAATGGTGTCATTATAAAGTTATATAGAATGGCATTTCTTTAAATTTAAAAGGTACTCCATAGAGTATACCTGACAGGATGCAAACCCTGAAGTGGCCTTAGTGCCATCTTTAACCTTCCTACTACCTCTGAATCAGTTAACTCCTACAATAACAAACATCAGGGCTGCTTTCAACCCCAGCTGCCTACAAAAATCCCTTGAAATGGTACCCTGAAGAAGATAACCATATTCTTACCAGGTCACTTCTGCTGTAACATGATCCCAAGCTATGCCATCCAGCAGGGAGGGTAAGAATAAGAATGGTGTAAGAGCGAGGCAATCCTCAGGTACCTGTTTGGGACAATTCTACAAGCTATTCATACTGCCAGAGCAGGAGCCAGTATCTGGCCCTGGGGGTCTACGAATGCAGTGAACAAGAACCCATGATTTAACACAGCAGTGTTAGCAGCATGTAGATTTGCCAAGAAAACAGTAATGGACATGAGGGAATACCATTTTGTCTTGCAGAGGAAGCTAGCAGAGGCCAAGAACACAAAAATGGGCGTTAAATGTTTAACTCTGATGGAAACAAAGAGTTCCCTGTTTGCTTTCCTGCAGGTCTAAAAGATTGCACTGGAGAATATATATGAAAAGTTGGTGCTTGCAGGCTGACATATATACAACTGTGACAGCCTCTTTAGCCACAACTAGTGTGAACTATATTGGGAAAAAATGCAGACAAACAGTTTTAACAACAGAGTGGTCATGCAGATAGGTTGCATACCACACATATAATTAAAGTTGTACTACTATATGAAATAATAATAGTAATTCAGATATAAATATAACCATAATTGCTGGGATAAAGTTTCTAAGAGATAGTTCCATATAAAATTTTGTAATTTGGTAACTTTGTAAAAGCAAAGAATATAAAGTACTATCTAAAAAACTCTATTGGTAACTTTGATGGTTGTTATCAATCGTATCTCTAAAACTAGTAAAATAAACATTCATTTATGACTGTTCTTCCATGCTACACATTGTTAAAAATTCTGAGTCTGAGTAGCAGGAAAAAAAAAAAAAAAAAAAAAAAGCTTCCCTTTGTAGCTGCTACAAATTGCTTAGAATTTTTTGTAAGGCAGAGGGAGAGTGTTATAGAGCAGAACGTGAGAAATTTGACCTGATGATCTCTTGAGTTCCCTTCCAACCCCTACAGTTCTGTGAGTCTGTGATTCTGTGAAATGAAGGTAGGGCAGAACGTGCACGAGAGCTGTCTAGGAGCCACCTGAGCACAGGGCAACTCCCAGGAAAGGAGATTTTCCTACATAACCAGAAGAGTTATGTGGTATTTGCTGTTGTTCCAGCATGAACGGAAATTTGTTGGCCTGAAATATTACCAGAGGAAGGACACTGTAGGGCCAGGAGGACACTTCTCACCCCTTTTCTTTTGTTATGTCTTTAGAAAGGCAGTTCATTGTAATTTTTGATCTAATAAAAGCAGTAGAGCTGGGAAAAAGGAATGAGTGATTTTTACATGGAATACTATAAAGACTAGAAAATTATGAGATAGGGGGTATTAATTAAGCTAATCCTGTTTATTCACTAGACTAGTACAATTTACCTTATGATTCTTCCATAGCCTTGTGTAACAAAGACCTTGAAGTCAGTAATAACCAAGCACATTTGGAATTAGAGTTTCAGGTTCAAGTTATTCAGGA